ATTTTTCCGGTTCTCTCCAAAATTTTTGAAAAAGTTTTATACAAACAACCATTTAACTATTGCATTGTTAATGTCATACGCGAGTGTCAATGTGGGTTTAGGCAAGATTTCAGTACTTCGGTTGCTTTGGTTGGTTTAACAGACGATATAATTTCCGCTATTGATAAAAGAATGCATACTGCCTTATTGGATTTTTCAAAGGCTTTTGATACCGTTAATCACGCACTTCTATTAGCAAAACTTGAATATTATGGACTTTCACAACAGTCGATTCATCTGGTAACATCCTCCTTTTCTAACAGATTTTAAAAATTTGTGTGTAGCGGCGCGGTTTCAGATTTTGTCAGGTGTTCCGCAGGGCTCTATCCTCGGGCCTCTGTTTTTTATTATTTGCACGGCTGATATTTTCAGGGCCTTGTGGCGCTGTAAAGTCCAGGCCTATGCCGATGATGCGCATATTTATTTCCACTTTATTCACTCTGATTACGAAAATGCATCCAGGTTAATAAACGAGGACCTGAATATATTAAAACAAATTTCCTCAGAACATAACCTTAAACTTAATCCTCTTAAATCTAATTTAATGCTTTTCGGTCCAAAAATTAACAATCAGTTTTTAAATGATAATGTGGATATTCGCCTTGATGGTATCAGCTCTGCGAAAAATTTGGGCATTATATTGGATACGGAGTTGCGCTTTAGGGAATATATTAAAATCCTAATTCAAAAATAATATATTTCATTAAAAATGATATGCTTAGTTCTCCTTTACTATGTAAAGCTCTTGTGCTTTGTAGTTTCAACTACTGTGATTTTATTTATGGCCCTGGTCTTAATGTAGCAGACAAAAATAGAATTCAAAAAGTGCAAAATACATGTTCACGGCTTATTTTAAGACTAAGAAAATATGACCATATCTCGCACACATTTAAAGAGTTTAATTGGTTGAAAATGCAGAATCGCAGAGCACTTCCTTTGGGTAATTTTGCGATAAATAGGTTTGTTTTTCGGGATACGGTACACGCATGGAATGTCAGATTTATTAATAAAATCACTGTGCCACGTCATCTTCCAGAGATCGTTTACTTATTAAATTTTATATCTCTTTGCCAAACGAATTCACTTCCCTTGAAGGAAAAATCTTTAGAAAGGGATATAAGAGTTACTTGCTTAGTGTGCAATGGCAATGTCCATAAATATGTTGTTTTTGTTTTACGAGTACATGTAATTTTCTTTTTCTCCTATACAGATTCTCTTGAAAGAGTAGTATTGTAGTTCCCCCAAATGCAAATTTAATATGCCAATGTTATCCAATAATTATTTATTTCACCTTGTAATTTTCGTTCCGCCCTGCGATTCAATTTGCCAAAAATTTATGTTAATTCGTTTTTTCCGCGGACATCTCTCAGAATATTACTATATTTTAAAATGCGTCTTGACACGTTAATTTGACTTGTAATGGTTTTATTGCAAATCTCTTTTTCATTATCCTCGAATTATGTTCATAAATAATTTATGACCGATGGTTTAAACTGTTGCCTACGAACGACCTTCAGTAACAGCCATTTCCGTTTAGCAGTCTTTGATCAAATAAGGATTGAATGGTAAGCAATAGTTCAATGTGTTTGGTAATACATTGTTTTACAATGTGTCTAACTTTCTTCAACGTGTAGGCAAAACGAATCATTGAAAAGCAATCTTTACGATTCCGATTTACTTTGTATTATTTACTATTCAAACCCGTAAGGTTTAAAAATAACAATTTTATTGCTTACCCTTCGATAAATTTTTATGTGTGACTTTTTTTTAAATAACTATAGTCCCGCGATATTTTTTTGAAAAATTCTTGTGACAGTGGATAGTGGCTACATGATTTCCAGGGAATAGTAAAATTATTTTATCTACTTTCATTTAATTTAATAAATATGTTCAGCGTCATTAACAAGTCTACCACATGTTTTTACAACACGCGTGTTAGTATTCTGAAAAATTCGGTACCGTTTTAATTAAACCGAGGACCCTTTACTATAGCAATAATATCTTACCACAAATTGCGGAACTCCTTTTATCTTACTTTATAGCAGCCCCTCGTTACACTTTAACCCCCGCCAAGGCCCGTAGTTACCTGTATACACAAACCGTTTGTGTTTACCGTATATAGCGCAGGTCCGGAGTCAGCGCACTAATTTGATCGAGATCATTTTAAATTATTGATAGAAATAAATATCGTAATATATGTTAATGATAGTTGCAAAAAATTCGTGATTAATTAAGAAAAATTATTAGACTTAAGGTTATGAAATTTTTATATACGGGGGTTTCTAATAAGGCTCATTCTAATGGTGGTATAGGCAACCCGACCACATTCATCGTTTTTCCCTAAATTTCCATACTTTCTTGTTATAAGTAGACGGAACATGTTTTTTTTCAACTTTAGGAATGCTCTTAAACTTCTAAGTACTTTTCATGTAACATTTTTTTGCAGGAATCACAAAAAAAAAGAAAAAAATTAATGATTTTATCAAAAAAACTAGAATTTATAGTGTATTATGCAACAAGTGCGGAAAATAGCATTTGGCTCAACTTTATATTGCACAAGCGGAGCGCAGCATACGACCGTCATGAAAAAATTACAATTTAACAAATTAAAAATAATAACATATTGTCGGAATACCAAATTTCTTACCATTCAAAACAAAAAGAGATGTGTTATTGGATATGTCATAAAAACAACGGAATTAACACATTTTTAAAACGTCGTGTTGTTTATTTAACTTTTACAATTGATCATTAAGTAGTTTATTTAAAGACAAAGACTGTCATTGGAAGAAAAATAATCCAAGCATAGAGCTTGTAAGAGGATTAAATTTATAATATATATATAAATTAAATAAGCAAGAAAAACAGGCTCTAACCATCAATTTTATTTGGTTTGTACTGATAAGACATGGATATTTGAAAATGGAACAATTGGTCTTGGCAAGATATAATTATCAAATTATCAAATTTATTATTAATTATATTATTATTAAAATATAAATGTCACTACCGACTAGTCCACTAGATTTTAATTTTAGCTTATAGCATGTAGTATATAAACTTTCTGATATGGTGCATAATATATTTCTGTGTATTAGTTTTTCTTTACATTTTTGCAAAACAATACGAAAACATTCACAGACATGCACATCAGCATTGATACACGTCAAAATTCAAACAGTGGGGTAAAATCCCGGAATTGTCCGAAGTAGCTTGGACCCGTGGGAAAGGTAAATAAAGTAAAGTAAAGTGTAAAGTAAAGTGTATTTTAGAGAAAGAAGTAGAAAAAAATATTAATGACATAATTAAGGATGTTAAAGAATTGGTAAATTTAAATACCAATAAAAATTTAAAAAAAAAGTACTTATTGTCATGCTGACGCCCTTCTGCTGCTTGACAATGTACAAAGCGCTCTCCGTCCAGGCTATCATTTGCTCTTTTATCCAAAAAAAATCTATACGATTTAAATCTGTTGAACAAGGCGGTCACTCGTGTCCCATCTGATTGATTAAAATCAGTACCTTTTTTCTTCGATTAAAAAAAACTCATTAAAATCAATAATCATGTTTATACATTAAATTCTAGTTTGTTGATTGAATAATTTTCGCATTTTGTCCTTTCTACAAAAACCGTTTAATATGCCTATGGAAAATGCTTATAAATTTAAGAGCAACCCAGAAATAAAATTTCCTATTTATAATAACAAAGTTTTCTTAGCTTAGAGAAAAAATAAATAAATGTTGCCATATTCATCAATTTAAACTATTAACTTATTCAACGCAATTGACTTCAAATTGTCAATGTCGAGTTGCAATGCGATTTTCGCTAGTCCCGCTAGAGACTAAATGATAAATTTGCCAAAACTCGAGTATGTGGAATAGAAGCAATTTCTTCCCTATTTTTTTCTATAACTTTAAAAATTCTGGATTTATTTTGTTACGAAGTGAAGAGTGTATAAATCCAGATTTACATTTTATGAATTCCGATTTGGCAATAATTTTAAACAGAAACCACCAATTTTGTTTCGACATTTATAATCGGCTTAAAACATCTAGCCAAAATGACGATATATTAACATTTATCTGGGTAGTTGTCAAATACGTTATGGTTACGTAAGTAAAAGCACGGGTTACCCTTCAGAGAACATCAGAAAGACTTAATTTACTTTTGAAAATTACTCATGTCAATTATTAAATATAAACTAAAGAGGTATAAAGGAACATAAGTTACAACTTTTTATACCCTCGTCTAGCCAATATAAATTCATGGTCAGCTTCAGTTTTGGCAAAAAACTGTCATTTGAGGAGAGATAGTAACATATCATCATTTCTACAAGAATTTCAATTAGATCTAGAATATCGAAAGAACATTCTGTTTAAAATTATATGTCAGAAAATAAACCTTACTACATTAATTAAATTAAATTACGTCGTAAAAAACAGATTACAATGAAAGCATATTTCAAGAAATTATATAAGTAATATATAATGCGTCGCCCAGTTTGTATTTGCTGTTTTGTTTGTGTTTCTATATTTTCGGCTTCTTCGTTTTTCGATTTTATTGTTATTAGTATATTGAATAAATCGCGGTAAACGTCGTTATAACTCAAGCAGACGTTAAGGGTGCTGAGTCCGTACCTGTGAATTTATACGTGGGTCCCTCATGTGTGCCAGCTTTTAACGTGAAATAACAGCTGTTGATTCCGAAACACCCCTTAGAAGTAAAAATGGGTGGAGTTTTGTCCCGCTCGCTCGTGCCACATGCCAAATGTTAAAATTAGATCGAATTTTCAGTCCATTTTATACCTCGATTTTGAGAAGCACGCGTTGTATTGTAGTCATTTCGCGCGGCAAACGAATCGAAAACATCCGGCTTAAGGAGGTTAACGCCGTTGGTGACCACCGTGAACTTTTTTTATATTAGTGATGATTAACACGATGGATTAAACTGCATACGGAGCGATGTCGCAGGTCAGCGTGGTGCATTACAGTCCGACTTCGCAGCAAAAGTTGAACATTTTGCAAAACACGAACTTGAACCACTCGAAAACGAACGAGAGACAGATAATTGTGCTACGAAAACCGCAACCGATACTTCCGCAAACCAAGGACGTATCGAAAGACGAAATCCTCATTACAAATCCTGGGAAGAAGGGAACGAAAAAGACCGGAAAGGAGATCAGGACGAATCCTCAGCCGGTGGCTGTGGCCAGGCGAAATGCCAGGGAACGGAACAGGGTGAAACAAGTGAACAACGGCTTCGCCAACTTGAGACAACACATTCCGAACTTCATTGCTCAAGCTTTCGAGAGCAATACGGGCCGTGGTGGCAACAAAAAGCTAAGCAAAGTGGAAACGCTTAGAATGGCTGTGGAATACATTAGGAGCCTAGAAGATATCCTGGCTATGGATGGTAATGGTCATCAGAACATGCAAGATCCAGGCAGAAACAATGTGTCACCAGCGCCAGCTAATTACAACGACTCAACCAACAGTAGTATGTATTCCTTCGCCATGTCTCCGTCAGAGGATGACGACGAGTTGTCTTCGGTCGCGACTCCTCCGCCGCAGCAGCAGTACATCAGAATCAATACCTCCAACAACACTTACGAAATAATACCCAATAATTTACTGGAAAATTCGGAAAATATGGACCCGATGACGATCCAAGGCACCATGCTGGCGGATCCAAGTCTAATCGACCAGGATCTGGAGTTCGGTGTTGATACTCAGGACCTATCGTATCTCCACTTGAATAGTATGCAAACGACCGGATCGCTCAGTCCAGGTATGTATAGTGACAACTCGCTCAGTCCCGCCGAGTCCAAAATGTTGGACGCCCAAAACTGTTTTATACCAGTGTTCGACGCTGCCAAACTAAGTGGGAACTTCAATGTGCAAATTAAAACCGAAGTGAAAGAGCTGCCGGTTATCTCGCTAAAAACAGAAGGTGATTTGTCCGATTCTCAAAAGCAGCTGGTAGACGTTATGAACTGGTGGGACGTGCAGCAAGATCAGACCGCTCAGAGCTAGCATTCAATATAATGATTTTTTTTATTTATTTTCATACTATAGTGCGTTTATTTCATTATTTATTCCTATTTATTCTAAGCGGCGTATACTATAGGTCTTACGGATATCGTACAGGCATTTTGCAGAAGCGGTCAATGAAATGAGATGCATTTTTATCTGGGGTAATATAATGAATTGCGATTTTTTTCGGTGTTGCTTTTTGCAACATCAATCAATGTCGTTCAAATTCTTACTACTAGGCAATAAAGCAATAATATTAATGAAAGAAGCGGCTCGTGTAAAGTATATTCCAAGCGATACGTGCCAAGAGAAACAGCTTAACAGCTTAACTTAAAATCGTTGTTGGATTGGTCGAAAATTTCCACGGCCCATTTTTGTTGCTTCTATATGCATAAAATTTCGAACATGTCTTGCGTGACTAATGAATTTCGCATTTTGCTATCTAACATCGTACGATGGAACATATTCTACACGCAGTAAAGCCCCATGATAGCTTAATTTACGATTCATTTAAATATGTGACTGTATTAATTATATTGCGCGCCACAAATCAGATCGAAATTATGTATGCCCCATGTAGAATAACGGCAATAATAATTATGTATTCTGTTTTTTTTAGGTAGAACAGTAGGCAACATTTTGATTCCGAGTACTTTTTGAATTGGGAGTTATTGGTTTCTGCTCTTTTTTTTCTAAATCGGATGAAAAGGCTCAGATTTGTGCACCAAGAGACACGGTAGTGCCCAAGGGTTTTTATTTTCTTACACCGAAAATTAAAATCGTGCACATGAAACTACGAATTTAATAAATTTTCAAATTTAAATTATCTAGCTACAATTTAAAATATTATAAAAAGTTGATAATATTTAATAAGTTTATGAACATATTATAATATTACGCATATGAGTAAAGTGAAATTAAAAGGGTGTTAATTGTGGCATTTTAAAACTCTTATTTTGTTCTTTACTGTTGGAATTCAATTATTTCTGATTTATTTCTAAATATTTGTAGCTCCCCAATAATTGTGACCTCCATTACTATGATATTGGGCTCACTTTTCGTTTATCCGAAATCATTTGCATAAATAAGGATTGTACTTTTGTCTCTTTGAAGCATTTTTGGCGTCAAAATACAAAAATTTCTTGCGGAAAATTTTTCGGTCTTTGGAATAGTCCAAATCGGTTATATATTAAAACTAATTCTGTCAACATAAAATCATAATAACAATCACCATGATAATCTGCAAATCATAATTTTGCTGCAAGAAATTTGGATAAAACATTTTTCTTTCTTTAATTAAACAAACGGCACAAAATATGCGTCAAACTTTAGCGAACCCTTATAGTAATTACATTTTTCTTCTGAATTCACCATATTAATTTTGGTTGGTTTAAATTTCCTAGTAAAATGAATAAAATGAAATATTAAATTAAATAGTGTATTTCCGTCACTTTTAATGAGGCATTTAAGCAGGAAATTTTCTATTTTTATGCGTTCGAAAAGGCTTCCAAATGGCAAAAATATCATTTTGTATTTAACTGAATTTGGCTAAACGAAATTTTTTCCCTGATGGGCACCTTAAACGACTTAACAAATTTAATTGCATTTGCCACAATCTCTACGAACCATATGCCATCGATCATGTTTACTGTGAACGGTTACTTTCTTTTAGTTTCTCAAGAGTATGATAGATGGCACTTACGTAATATCATCAAAGTCAAATATTATATGTTACTATATCATTATCTAGTTTCTAAGAACCATTTGATATTACATTGCAGCTCCAAATTATGATCTCAGTTACGGTGTAAGAAGTGGTGGACTGAAAATTTTCCGTTTTCTCCTATTTAATGATGATCGATCGTATTTAAAAATCCAATTGTATTGTTTAAAAAACTGTTAATAGTATATCCTTACATTTTAAGTGAATAGGCTAGTGAAAAACAAACCGTATGTAATATATTGTTAAGTTTTTATATGATTATAAAAATTAATAAAATATTTTCCTACCATTTCTACGCCGTAGTTTGTATTGTCCTTTTTTTGCTGTTTGGGAAGAGGGGTCCGCATGCCATCTGCCTTAAGATAATGGCGAGAAAATTATGTTAATGGACTCACGGGATGGGAGTTTAATCCTGAATGGGGTTGGATGTCGTTATTGTCCTTGATAAGGCAGCCGAAAATAAAATAAAAAACGCTGCTATTCCGGAACAAGATCCAGGTAATTAAATACACGCTACTTCTTCTTGTTGAATTTAGTCACCAACCAATATGTTCCAAACATGTCATTTTGAAACAGTAAGTTATTGGGACACTAGTGCGGGGTAAGAATTACAGCTTGAAACTACCAGCATATTTGACAACAATGATTTTTTAAAGCAAAGCAACATCTCTCTAGAAGGTGTCCTTGAAATAGTAGGTTTAGGTTTATTTATTTACTCACATTTTAAAAATTATATTTGTAGCAAAACAATGTAACAAAAAAAAACAATGCATGAATAAAAGTATAAGACAAAATTGCGAAATAAAATTGTATATAATTAGATGACAGGTTACACAGGTTTAAAATTTGAAGTTTAGGTATTAATCGGTTCTGAAAAACCATTTTATTGTCATTACCAACGCGCTTTATATTACAAGGTAATTTATTGTAAAAGTTCAAGTTTAATTTATAATTGATTTATTAAGACGGTATCGGGGAATCATTAACTGGTGTGCATTAAGCGTTGCGGAGGAATGAGAGTCAGAAATAAAAGAAAAACTTGATTCATTAAAGTGAAATTCGATTAAGCTATTGTATATGAAAGTAGATGGTAAATTTATAACATGAATACTGGGAAAATGGGACTTTCTATAGTCCACACCAAGAAGAATTCAAAGAGCTTTTTTTGAAGTTAAAACGCTCTGACTGTGTAACTAATGTACCCAAAAACTAACGGTCGTAGAAAAAGTATAGTATGCAACACGTTCGGTAAATTTTTTAAGTCACTCGTTTATTAAACACTCGCTCCGCTCGTGTCAACTAACTCGGGGGTCAAATGCTGTTTACCGCACTTGATAAAATTTAATAAGTTTTTCTTGTTATGTTAAGAACAAAATTACCTAAAATCTTTATGTTCTCCGAAAATTAGTTCTTTTTTTGTTAAATATTTATTGTTGAATATTAAAAACATAATAATGGCTTTGAGTAGAGCCCACAAAACTGCTATAGTTACCGAGATCCCTATATTCTTAACTAACACGAATATGTCAAAGAATTAGCAAAAATAATGTAACTAATTGATTTCATTTGTATTTCACGAAAAATTGCATGAAAGAATGTTTTTTTCGGGATTTAAATTAATAAAGGTAATTTAGCAGCAATACGCATCCTTGTAAAAGATGGAAACAAATCGACTAACATTTTTCGCAGCGTAAAGTCTTATTGCAACTCATATTTATGGGATAAGAAAAAAATTTTTTTGCATTTATAACAGTTTCCTTTAGTTTTATTTACAATTTACAAGTAGACGGCAATTTGACCCAGGAGTTTATTTGACACGAGCGGAGCGAGTGTTTAATAAATGAGTGATTTAAGAAGTTTACCGAATTTGTTTCATACTATGCTTTTTCTACGACCGTTAGTTATTGGGTACATTTTTGCAAAACAACACCAATACACTCACTGACATGACCGTCAGAATTGACAAACGTCAAAATTCAAAGCGTGGGAAATGGAAATACCCGTGCGGTGAAATCCCGGAAATGTCCGAACTGGGTAGGATCCGTGGGAAATAAAACTGACGTGATAAAGCAGCGGCATTTGAGTCACGAGTATATTTGAAACGAGCGGATCGCAGCTTAGCGATCCAAATTTTAAATCACTATCTCAAGCCGTTTAAAAGTTATGTGTCACCCGGTATATATATTGGAAATAACAAAATTTAAATCTAAATTGATATTTGTTCTTATACGGACATTAAAATAGCCAAAATTATTTTAAATGTAAACGCACTTCTAGAAACGGAACCCAAAACAATTTTGGAATTTTCTGTAACTGTGGATTCTGGTAGTATGTCATTTAGACCAAGTTCCATAACTTACTACCTTTTCATTAACCTTCCTATAAGATCCCTCCTTATCAGATGTAACGCGATCCGTTTCACTGTCTGAAATATAGTTTGCAACGACATTTAAGGAAATAAAAGCGCCCGTGAAATGCTTCTTTGACCTCAGGTATTAAATTTCGGGTTCAGTTCTCTCCCTTGACGTCCCAGGTAGTCATCTCGGATGTAAAAACGCACCGGAGCAAAATATAATCCTTATCAATAAAACCCTACCCCCAAATAAATTCTAATAGGAAAATATATAGCATGAAATTTAAATATAGTCCGCGGTTTGATTTTTACCAGTTTGCCCTCAGGTACAGCCTCTACGACGAAGGGATATAGTGATTTGTAGAGGCCATATCTCTAATAATTACTACACATGGGCGTGTTCGTAGATGGCCTGCAATCCTCCAAAACCACTTTAGAAGAATATAATTATGTACCGGTTGTCATAAATTCGATCCTCAAAAAAAACTAATGTCATTAATGTCGAATGTTTTGAAATTGCCGGTTTTTTTGACGTAAAAATAGCAAAAATTTTAAGTCGGGCTGCCATTTTAATAAATATATAAATAAACTTAACTAAACAGGCTCGTATCCGTGGGAAACGAAACTGATGTCTCAAAATTATGTTACTAAAATGTATAACTAGCTATTTTACAGAAGGGAAAAGAAAATTATTTTGTAGTAAAGCCATAAAAAAATCCAGTAATATACTCCCTAGATGCATTAGCAAATGCAATTACTACTATTATTGAAATATTACAGCATCCGTTAAAAAAAAACCTCTACGTCTCTAATTCAAATATAAACATCAAACTAAGAAGAAATTTAATTTATAGGACTATTGTGTCAATATATTCATGAATAACTAACCAAAACGAATCCGACTAGCCAAATATTACATGTAAA